ATGACTGCCTTTGTACCTTGCCTTCAAAGATCGTATATTTTTTGGGACGATTTGCCATTCCTTTTGTTTTACATATTTAGAAGTGTAGTGCCTGAATTACTTATTATGCTGCATAATGGGAGACAATAGAGTACGACTTTGTAAAATCAATAAGGATACAAGCAGAAGATCCTATTTTTAATGTGCTAACATATAACCACATTTATTGCAATATATTTCTATGTTTAAAAATATATTAGGTTATTGTAGTAAGATGCAACATTCAGATACTGAATACATGTACTGTATATATTAAAGCTGAACTCCTAGCTCATTAGAAAAAAAATATAATCCAGTTATGGGTTCAATATTTTGTAGTACTTTCACTAAACATGTTTTAACATCCTACTGTAATCCCATGTACAGCCACGCTAACTGGAAGAGGGAAACGATGCAAGCCAGTCAAGGTGAACTGCATTGCACAGTGCTTTCTACCAAACACTGCACTGTTTAATGGTAGGAGAATGATCTCATCAGTGTCATTTTTTCTCCTTCATTGGCCACTCACAGAATGGGGTGGGTCCCAGTCTAGATTGTACTGCTAAACCCCAATATAGGCTTTAGGGAAGTCACAGGAAGAGCAGGAATTAGGTAATAAATTAGCTGACAGGGGTGTCTGGATCACAAGATTGGCTGAACAAAATTGTATCAATAGCAAAATTTACCTTAGCCACTACCTCTTGTACATCAGTAAGGGTACCCTTCTATAAAACATTTCTGTAGATGGAATGTTCACCTATTGAGGATTCCCTAACATTTTGTCAGCTTGGTAAAAGCCTGCAATATGGGTAGTCATGAGTAAATAAATATATGAAAAGGAGGGGGAGGTGGTTTCATATTGAAGTGGTGACACATGCAGGTTTAGACACTGGTTTAGGCAACTGATTGAAAAGTTTTCAGAAACATTTTACAGACACTCCCAATAGGGTTTCTATATACCATTCGCAAATCCAACTTAATCTAAACTGATGGCAGTCAGCTTCCAAATATGACCCAATCACATTCTAAAAGGTTTTTATGCCTAACCAGATTTAGGTTTATAATCTGATTTTCAGATTGCATTAATTTGGCACAAGCACAGCCATTTGTCAGTGTCACTGACAGTGGCATCGTTGGTTGATAAGGACACTCTCGGCAGTCCTTAGTGACCAATGATGCTGACTGATGAGTAATTCTGAAAACCAAGTTCCTAATCAGGTCTGTTCTCCTGCTGGTTGATAGCAGGCAGTGGGTGGGTGCCATAGTCAATAGCAGGCTTACTATGCTATCCGCCTACCCAATTTGCAGGACAGCGAACCGGATGGGGAACTTGGTTCTCAGAATTCCACATCAGGTACCATCCACTCAGTGTCACCAACAGTGAGCATCACTGGTTATTAAGGAAGCGGTCGGCTACAGCTTCCTTGATGATCAGTGACACTGACTGTAGGTGATGAGGGTGGGGGGGGGGGGGGTGGGCCAGTATTTTACTGGCAGGATCACAAGGTAAAGATAAAGAAAAAAAATCTAAAAAGGACTGGCATCAAAATTATTAAAAAGTAGTGTAGGTTTGTAATGAAAAAAATAATTTTATGCTGCTTCTCCCATCAGGCCCTTTTGGCCATTTCTATATACAGTAAACTTCCAGGTATCCGGCATTGGTAGGTGCTGGATAAATGTTGTATCTGGTTGCTTGAGAGTTAATAGTAACTCTCAAGCAACCAACCCTGCAGTTAAGTTCTCTCTCAGGTCCGTTCCTCTGCTCTGTGTGGGTGCCATAGTCAGCCTGCTATTGGCCATTTTATATTGCAATAGTCAATAGCAGGCTGGCTATTGAAACCCTGCCCACTGAGCAGAGGAACGGACTGAGAGAGAACATTCAATGGGTGGGTACAATAGCCAGTCTGCTATTGGAATTTGAAATAGCCAATAGCACTCTGGCCATTTCTCACCATGGTTTACATTCTGCTGCCAATAATGGCAGCAAAATGTAAACACATTTTTGGTCCTCGATTTATTTGCTTGTTGCTTGAGTGTCGGTTGCCTAAATGCTGGACAATGGGGAGTTTACTGTAATATATACCTTTGATGAAATGTACAAAAGGCGGGGGGTTAAATTAAATGTTTTTTGGTATCCTATGAAAAGAAGGCATCCTCACACCTGTCAGCTAATAAGAAGGTAACCTAGGGAGCTGAAAATGAGCAAGAGATTCTCTCTTTGATAACACCATATCCAAAGAACCCTACTGCAATGCAGCCATTTTAACAAAAAACTAAAAAAAATCCAGGGATCCCAACCTGAAAGAAGCACTTTCAGGGAGGTGTCCCTACTGAACTGGCAAAACTGTTTTTCAAATACAGTAGAAGCTTACAAACATGATAGCATGACCTGAATGTTAATAGGGCTAAAAAAAAAAAAAAAACATTTTAAACGTGACCTCTGCAACATGCAATTTACAGATTCCCTCCTCAGATTTTAAGGGTTATTAAACCCTCCGGTGTTTTTGCATACATCTACTGCTAGCAGATGTTGAGAAATGAGATCCAGGTGATCTGGAAGAGACCCACAGGGTGTCTGCCAGTAGATTGATCAGCTCAGAGTACCTATATGTGACTATCACTGGAATGCCCTTCATCTTGATCCTGCAAAATAGACAAGAAAAAGCGTCGCTCGGTCTGTACCAATTCCGCAGTCACCAAAGCATTCACTACTTCTCCAGATGATCTCTGCATCTGGAGTTTGTCATTAAACCTGGAAGGCCATGAGGTCCACACACTATGCACCCCAGATGTGACAGGACCTGAAACACTTCTGGGTGTAGGGACCATTTCCCTGGATCTAGGTGCTGCTGGCAGCAATAGTGCGCCTGACAATTGTCCACACCTGGTATGTGAATGGTAGACAAGGCTGGATCCTTTCTACCTTCGTTGCCACAGTCAGACTTATGGTTCCTACCTGATGGTTGATGTACGCTGCACGCTGCTGTGGCATTGTCCGATTTACTCCTATTTAGATGACCCTGTAGACGTGGTGTCCAGTATTGCAGCAACAGCCAGCCAAAATGATGGTTGGAAAACAGGATTCCACCAAGTCCCCTGCACCAAGGGGTGGCATCCATTTGTAGATTGTACAACAACTGAGCAAATGGACCTGCCTCGAAGGAAGCTATCCTCAAGCCCAGAATAGCAAAGTTGGACGACTCTGGACTATAGTATTTGAGAGTGGGAGCTAAGTATCAAACGTTTTTCTTGGGGAACATACACTTTGGCTTGAATGAGACCCAGATATTCTAAGCAATGTGTGTGCTCCAGTGCTGATTTTTAAAGGTTCAGCATCCAACTGAACTTTTAAGGTTTGAACTGTCTGCATCACAAGGACAGTCAAGAGTTTGAGCTGCCTGTTCCCTCAACAGTCCTCTAGTCCACAATGGGAATGCCCTGGGAGTGTGAGTGTAGCAAGGTTAGCAGAGGGATTGGAACAGCACCAACAAATTCCTAATATGAATAACTTTCCCGTATCTTAACATAAAACCAGCACAGGTGAAATCAAATTGTTGTCTTTGTACCACCAAGCTTTTACCAAAAGGTTTTATGATTGTGTGCTGCACATGAAAAGAATTATGATATATCACCCTTTTTAAGATTTTGAAACCACACACATCTGTACCAAGTGATAATTAAGACTTTACACCTCGTCTGGGATGAAGACAGCACCTACATCAGACATAAAAGAAATGAATAAAAAGGAGGGAATTTCTTTAATAGAGAAAAGATGTCCATCCTCCTAGGAC